TGACTCACAACTGAGAAAGTCGCCCTGCTGCTGCTGCCCCTCCTCCGGCCATTTCCACAGGAGTCAGTCTGTCCTGAAGCTGTCCAGCCGTCGCTTCATCTAACGGTCTGGGCACCACCCGTCCCCTCGCCCGATCCCACGGCTGGCCCCGGGGTCTGTGTGTGGGGCGGCGTGTGCGTTTCCCAGGGGCTCGCATCCACCCTCCGTTCACTTGCCTGGTTTCTCTTCCTCCGGGTATCACTTCTGTCCCAATGTCTGGTCCCCGCCCCCCCCCCCGTGAGTCCCATCTCCAGGTGCTGCAGGGGGGCAGTGTCCCTTCTCCCTGGAGGTTTCCACTGCTGCCCTCCGGCCACCCGTTCCCCGGTGGACGGCTGCCGAGCACCCTGCAGGGACTCTGGTGGCACTGCTGCCCCCTCTGCCTCTCCTGCGCATGGAGTCACTCTCCAGTGGCTCCCTCTGAGCATCTCCAGGCTGTCACTTGGCTGCTCATGTCCTTTCTGGGGGCAGCTGTGAGGATGCGGAGGCCCGAGCTGCAGGGTACCGAATTCCCATAACTCCCAGTTTTCAGCCCTAAGGCCTGGCCTCCCCCGTTCCAGAACTCCCATGTCCCTTCGCTCCAGAGGACAAACCTCCGGGCCCCTGCCCTCACAGCCCTTCTAGGTTCTGTGGAAAGCCCTCTCTGTTCTCTGTCTGTGGGCTTCAGGTAGGGGCAGGTGGACTCACCTCTGTTTCCAGGTGTGGGGGAGAGCGGATGCTCACTCAGAAGTGGAAGCCTAACCTGGACAACACCTGTCACCACGTCGGCAATACAGCACGGACAGCCCAGCTGTGTGATCGCACCAGCCACAGCTGTCGCCTCTCCAGCCCTCCGGAGGCGGGGTCTGGTCTGTGACCTGTCCTGACACACAGTTGGGAAGTGACTGCAGTCCCCACTGAAGCCTCTGGGTCTGGCTTCCCTTCACCCTCTCCAGAACCCAGCATGTGACAGAGCCGCAGCTGGCCTGCGGGATGGGGTGGGGGGCGACAGGCCCAGTAAGGCAAGGACAGTTGTTGCCATCATCCAAAAGAAGCCCATGGACCCCGAGGGGCGCAGGGAGGGGCCAGCGAGGGAAGCGGGCAGAGGGCAGGCATGCCCCACCCTTGGAGCCACCCCGGCGTCCACCTCGGCGCCGAACCGGGCTGTACAGGGCTCCTTAAAGATCGCCGGCGTGTGAAGGGCAAACATTTAAAGATCATCCAACTGGTCATGTTTGAATTTGGAAACTGGTGTGACTTTGGAGTGTCACAGATGCATTTTTAGCCCAGGGCAGTTTTCACGTCACCACCTCCTTACATCCAAAAGCCATCTCCTCCCTCCTTTCTTCTTCCTCTTTTGAAGGATATTTTTGGGCCCCTCCGAGATTTGTGTCTGGCAGACTTCAGACTGGGACACAGCCTCTGGACGGGCCTGCTTCCCAGGCCGACTCCGGATCCTGTGCTCATCCCTGCCCCATGAGAAAGGGACAGGGGGCCGAGGTGACCCCTCTAGGTGCCAGCTCCGCCTGCTGGGATGCAGGTGGCCCAGGTGCTCGTGACAGGTTAGCACGGCACTGTCCACTGGGCACAGGTGCAGGCACTGAAAACGGCAGTTTCCGTAATGGCAGCAGGGAGAGCCGCGGCCCCAGTGACTGGCCCCAGGCAGGGTGGCTCAGTGACGGACGCCTGCTGCAGCAGCCCCACTGAGCTGCGGCCGGGCCCGTTCTGCAGAGGAAGAAACCGAGGCCCAGGTGGGTTGGGGAGGGGAGAGGGCTAGGTGTCCCCCTAGGTGCCTGGGCTTCAGTCCCAGCCTGCACGCAGCCCCTGCCCTGGCCTCAGTTTCCCCTCTGGGCATGCTAAGTGCCTGACCTGGGCAACTGCGCGATGGGACTTCGGTCTCCACACGCCGTGCCCCTCCCTGCTCCCGGCCCCCATGCTGCTGGCGAGCGGGGTCTCCCTACCCTTTGGGCACAGCGTGGGAGTGCAGTGGACGCCACTCCGTGCCTCTTGCTAAGACGGCAGAGCGGAGGGCCGGCCGCACGGGCCCCTCGCAGCACGCTCCTTCAGGATGGACGTCCCCGCTGCTTCCCGTTCGGGCGTGGGGCTGGTCCCCCAGGAGGGCGCGGTTCTGCCGGGACCACCGTGCGCACCGCTGGCCCCACGGTGCCAAGGGGACAACCCGAGGGTGCAGGAGGGTGGGGTCCTGGCCCCCTGAACACTGAGGGTCAGTGTTTGCCGTACGGGCAGTGTGAGCCCCCTGTGTGGGTGTGACGATGTGGGGTGCTCCAGTAAATGTTGCTGGGAAGGTTCTTTGCACCCCCAAGCCCAGCCACAAAGGTCAGGCTGGGGTGGGGTGCCAGGAGGTAGTGGCCAGGCAGCCACATGGCTCCCCCACGGCTCAGTGCTCCAGAAGCAGACCGAGCCCACCTCCCTGCCACAGACCTGCCGACTAACTGGGGCTCTGGAAGGGGAGGGTGCTGCCTGCTGGGCGTCCTGAGAACTTAGGGTCTTTATCCCAGGCTGGGAAGGACCCTCGCCCAACATGTGCCCCGGAGCCAGCCCCAGGGCATGCACAGTGGTGCCAGCTCAGGGTCCCAGCGAGACGCCCCCACAGGCCCCTGCTGAGTGTGAGCCCCTATCCCTTGAGGGCCGGCCCTCGGCCCCACCAGCCGGTTGGGCTACAGCCCCCTCTGCACCATGAGGGCTCACAGGCGGCCCTGCGGGGGGCCGGGCCGTGCACCCGCACCCAGGGAGGACCGCTGCACCTGAGGCGTGCCTGAGTCCCCATCGTCACTCCTGAGTCCCCATCGTCACTCCTCCCCGGCCTCGTGCCCCTGCTGTCTCAAGAGTCCACCAGGCTCAAGGGGTGGGAGCGAATGAGGTGTCACCTCCTCAGACGGGCTCCCTCGGCTTCCGAGCGGGCTGGGCCCCTCCTCTGAGTCCCCTGCAGTCTGCAACCCCCCCCGAGAGTGCCCCGCTTATCCACCAGCCGTTTATCTGCCTCCTAGCAGGTGGCCCGGCACACAGTAGGTGCTCAGTAAGCAGCAGCAGCGGCGGGGTGGGCGATGGTGCTGGCTCCCGCCTGGGCCACCGCCCAGTGTTGATTTGAGGAGAGAGGCCCCTGGCGTGTCTGTTGGCTGCAGGGCCCAGCAGGCTCGGTGGCGGTCTCCTCCGCCTCCGTCCCCGTGCAGACGCTGGGAGAGCAGCGGTTTCCGGAGATTGAAGGCAAAATTGCTTGAAAGCCTGTGCTTTTATCCTCCAATCTGCAGCCATTTAGCAGGGCTGGGCGGAGGGGCAGCCAGGGCTCGGCTGCGCTGTCGGCACGGAGGCGCCCACGGCAGCAGAGAGCCGGTTCTTTGTCCTTGCTCAGACAGCTCTGGGCTTCAGGGATGGACGCCTGCCGGGGGTCGGGCGGGTCGTGCGTGGCCAGCAGGGAAGCCAACGGCTGGTCTGCCAGCCGCGCCAGGGGCTCCAGAGCTACCGACCAGGGCTACCGTGGCGCTGGGCCCCACAGATGGTGGTGCGCGCGTCCCTGCCACCACCTCCCACTCTGGCCCGGTCTGCCTCTGCTCAGGACAGCACCAGCCCCCAAGGGAAGCCCAGGCCGCTAGAGAGGGGGCCCACCTTGGCAGGAGGAGAGCCAGTGAGGGGGAGGGGTGCCAGCTGAGCTTTCTGGGGTGCTTGAGAAAAAAGTGCAGCACAGCGGCAGGGTGAGCCGCCGCCCGGGGGAGGAGCCTTGTCGCCCTAAACGCCGCCCTAAGTACCTTCTCCCCTCCATGGGCGTGGAAATCTGCGTGGGCGCAGACCTGCTGCGTCTCCGCCCGCCCGGGACCTGGGGCACCTGGGGCACCAGAGTCTCTGCCGTGGGGAGCAGGTTGCGGCCGGGCCTGCAGACACGGGGCCAGGGCGATGGGGAGGGGGGGCCGGAGAGCAGGGAGGCTTCCTGGAGGGTGTGGCATTCGACCCCCCAGTCTGGACTTTCTCAGTTGGGCTGGTCTTGTCTCCACTTCCTGGGGCGACGGCTAGTGTCTGTCCCCTCCGAAAAGCACACCGGGCCCATGTCAGGTCCTTATCTCTGTCCCTGACCCCATCCGTCACCCTCAGTCCTGCCTCCAGGCCCTTACCCTGGACAGCTCCTCTACTAGCTGTCTCCCCACCCTCCGCCTGGCCCTCCCCTCCATCCCCCAAGTTCAGCTCCAGCCCCCACGCACCCTGGAAGCTCCCCGGATGGAAGGCCATGGCCAAGAAAGATGGGAACCCCTGTCCTGGGGAGACAAGCAGGGTGCATCAGGTGGGGGCTGCGGGTCGTATTCTCAAGACTGGAGAGACCCCCTCCTGAACAGGTGCATGTGGGCCCGGGGGGGTCACTGCTGGGCACATGGCCCTCATCAGGGTTAAACCCTGGCAGGAAGGCCAGGCGGCTGTCCTCTCCCCACTCGGAAGAGAACACTGAGGCTGGGGGAGGGGCAGGCCTGTGCCTCACATCCTCTGGGTGGTCCCCAGTCTCCCTAGGGCCCCACTGAAGAACAGGAGCTTGGCCCACCCTCCACGAAGTCTTCAGGAATCAACACCGTTAAAAAAATACTTTACTGTGGACGTCAGGGTCTGCAGGGCTGGTGAGGCGGGCGCACGGAGACGGGCATGCACGGTGGTCACAGGTATGCCGGGCGTGGCGAAGTGGCCCCTCTGTCGGGTGCCGCTCCACCCGCCAGCCCAGGTCCCTTCTGATGGCCCCTGTGAGCCTTGGAACCCTCAGGGCAGGGCGAGGCCCTCCCACCCGGCACCCCCAGCAAACGCTGGCTGGGCAGACAGAGGGGGTGGGCAGCCCGCTGGATGAGCAGGCGTCCGGGACTCTGAGCCGCCAGCCGGGGCCCAGCACCCCGAGCTGGGGCAGGGTGGGCAGAAGCAGCTGGCGCCGCTCAGCCGGAAGCAGCAGCCTGAAGAGGGAGGGCGTGGGAGCCCGCACCTGCCAATCCAGCCCTGAGCTGCTCAGCAATCTCGTCTCTCTTGATTAAACATCCAAGGAACATCAAGTTCACGGACGTGTTTTCTTCTTTGTCTTCCCGAAACACCCAGAATGGAAAAGCAGAGAACGTTGCAAGGTTCCTGAGGGCCACTTGGCACTTGGGAGGCAGAGAGAGTTGGAAGGAGGAGGGTTGGAGGAGCTGGGCCCGGGCTTAAGCAGGGAAGAGACAGCAGCAGAGCCAGGGGCACAGGTGTGTCTGGAGGTGGGGGTAAGTGCGCAGGTGTGTACAGGTGTGCGCGTGCAGGGGTAGGCCGCTGGGTCAGGAGCCTGGAGCACACACCAAGCGCTTGCTGTGGGAGGAACACCAAGCGGTAACTGTGCAAAGGGCGGACACCTGGCTGTCGCACTGTCCATGGGGGGCGGGCATCGTGGCTGAGACCCCTGGATTGTCCCTCCTCGCCAGCCCTGCCACCCCTGTTCCAGTTCGGGCGATGATGGCCCCTCTGGCCGGCCGGCCAAGCTGCCTCCACGTCAGGCAGATGATCTAAGGGTGGCAGCCGTGGTGTGCACGGTGGGCCACGGACAAGCCGTGGCTCTCACCGGGAGGTGGCTGCCCAGGGCCCCAGGTGGCCGAGGAGGGCCGGCTCACTTCCAGCAGTGCTCCAGGGAGCTGTGGGGCTGGACCTTGAGCTTGTGGGGGCAGAGCAGCTTGGTGAAGGCGCGGCGGAAGCTGTAGTGGCACAGTGGGTAGAGGACGGGGTTGACTGCCGAGTTGGCCCACAAGAGCCAGAAGGACGTCTCGTACCAGTAGTCGGGGACGCAGTGGCCGTGGCATGCAGCCCGGATGATCATTAGAAGAGTGTACGGGGCCCAGCAGAGCCCGAAGATGCTGACGATGACGGCTAGCGACTTGGCCACCTTCTTGTCCCGTGACAGCCGGAAGCGCTGGGTGATACTCTGGGACATCATCTTCATGCGCTTCTCCAGCGACGCCGAGGACGCCGACGGCTTGGAGCCCCTCTTGAGCGAGCGGGGCCGCTCTGTGCCCCGAGAGGAGCTCCCCGAGCTGGAGGTGGGCGAGGCCGCGGCGCCCCCACCGCTGCCCCCTGGGGCTGCCTCCCCGGCCTCAGCGCCGTTGGCCACCTCCCCGACCCCAGGCCCGTACCTGTGCAGCGGCACGGCCTCCCCACGCCCCTTCTGCCAGCAGCCCCAGCAGCCCCGCGCAGCCGGCGGAGACAGTTGGGCCTCGGGCGGGGGCTCCGGGCCCACCGCCTCACGTGCCCCGTCCAGCCGGTCACGGGTGCGCCTCTGGATGTTCAGGTAGATGCTGAGGTTGAAGAAGGTGACGCTGAGGAAGGGCGTGAAGAACTCCAGTGTGGAGGCTGTGATGAGGAAGTACCAGTTGTAGAAGAACTCGGCGTAGCAGTGGCCCTCGGGGATGGAGCTGCCGCCTGAGAGGTGCTCCCAGCTCAGGATGGCCGGCCCGTACAGCAGGAAGGCCAGCACCCACACCAGCACCATCTTCCGCACCGCCCGCCGCGTGTCGCCCTGCTGGGCCCGGTAGGAGACCTGCCGTGGGACACGCCAGGTCAGGAGGGAGGGGACTGAGCCCAGGTCAGCCGGCTGCTACCACGGTAGGAGGAACACTGGACTGGGAGGTCTCGGCAGCCCCCAGGCCTCCACACAGGCCACCTTCCCTCACAGCCATGCTTTCCCCTTCCCCTCTCCCCCACGGGTCCCGGGCTGGGCGATGCTCCGTCATACTGTCCTATAGCCAGCTGCCTGTTCACCATCCCCACTGTGAGCTCCCCAAGGGTGCTCGTCAGTGTCCCTGTCTCTCGAGTGCTCACAGCGTGCCCAGCGCCGCGCTGCGCATCGTTTGGATATCGTCTGATTCAACCTTCCCAGCAGCCCCATTATTCTCCTGCTTTCTTTCTTGATGCCTCAGAGAGGAAGGGGGGGACCAGGTGGGTGGCAAAGGGGGCAAAGCTCAGGTTCGACCCAGGGCCAACTGACCCCAAACCCATGCTCTCTGCACTCTATTCCATGGCCTCTCCAGACTAGGACGCACGTGGCTCCCAAGCAGATGGCCCTTGGGTGCCAGATAAAGCCATCGAGAAGACGAGAGGGCAAGGAGAGGCCTCTGCTCCAGCCACGTGGCACGGACACGAGAAGCCTGGCCCCTAACTCATGGTGGCCACTCACGACGAGGGGCCAGGAACCAGAGCCTGCCTTCCTGAGGCACATGCACACGCATGCACACGCACACGCACACGCACACCTGTGGGGGGTGCCACCAAGGGCCTCTGGCCCCGACCCTCCCTCAGCCTCAGGGGACCTGCCCCAGAGTGGAGGCTGAAGTGACCCCTTCCCTAAGGGACATCTGATGCCAGGGCCGGACTGTGCCCCCTGCCTGTCCCAGGACCAGGCCTATTGGCAGCAAAAGGCGCTGACTGGGCAGCTGGACACATGGGGCGCCTGGCACGAGAGTGTGAGGCTAGTGAGGACCAAGCCCACCTGCCGCTGCCCAAAACTCAGAAGTGGCCATCCCCTGCCCAGTGCCTCCCGTGGCCGCTCCTGGCCACCTCCCCCCAGGAGCGACCGTGGGCACTCGCATCTCAGACGCACCGCACGGGTGACGGACAGGAAGCGGTCGTAGCTGATGAGCACGATGCTGAAGACGGAGGAGGCACACAGCAGGTAGTCCGCCACCAGCCACAGCTTGCAGAGGCCCCGGCCGAAGGGCCAGCGGCCGGTCAGCACGTACGGTACATACAGCGGGATGCAGAAGGCCCCTGTGGGAGATGAAGGCCGCCGTGAGCCCCGGCTGCACGGGGGCCTGGGTCAGACCCACCACAGCGCATGCTGGCCGGACCCGGCGGTCATCATCTTTCTTGACCAGCATCCCTCACCTTACTCCCCCCACCCCCACTCCGCTCCTAGGCACACCCCCTGCCCTGCAGCTGGCTTTCAACCCCTTCCTTCCCCGCCCCCATCCCCACTAGTGTCCCCTGGGCTTGAGCAGGAGGGCGGATCCTGCATGGAGACGGGGCAGGACGGCCCTGAGCCTGGGGCGGGTGCTTCCCAGGCTTCTGACCAGCCTTCGGCCTCAAAGGGAGAAAGGAGGATGCCCCCTCTCCTCCGCCTGCGGACACCAGCCCCTGTCTTGGCTGTGAACGCCCCTTCTCCATCAGCTGGGAAACCAAGAAAGCCTTTCTCCTAACTCAAAGGACACTTGGCCGCCTCCACGCCAGCCACTCCCGCTGCCGAGCCAAGTGTCTGGCAGACGCAACTCGCAGACCCAACAGGTGTCTGGCGCTCAGGCCCCCTCCGCGCGCCCCGCCCCCCAGCCGGCAGCAGCGCACAGACACGTGAGAGCGCATCTTCCCCCCCCATCCCCGCCTTCCCCACGGCCCCCTGCCGCAACACGTCTCTGAACCCCCTTCCCATATCCCCTCCTCCAAGCCTCCGCCAAGCGCCCTCCGCCGTCCTGAGTCCCCGGCAGTCTTTGTTTGGCTACTGCGAGAGCCAGCGCTGCATCCGCGCTGCTGCGCGCGGCGCCT